TGACCCCAGTGTTCGGACATTTCTCCGCGGAGTGGTCACGAAAAGTCACATATGCCGAGAACTGCCGGTTAAGACTCCGACCCGAGTGTGCAGATTCGCGCGCACAGGCGCTCGAGCGGAGATTGACAATGAAGGACCGTCTTGTGGCGCAAGGTCACGCTCGATGGCCGGTATTCTACTGCACATCTTCTGTACCTCAAATACCTTCGGAAAAATATGCATCATATACAGGATTCCTAGGAAACGGTGCCAAAGTTTTTCGGGGATGAGCGCTCGACAAGGAAGCTGGACCGAGTACCAACATTGCACATGGCTCATCTACTGAACCTCTTCCTGCTAACAGATCGCAACAACACCTCGCTCAATCCACGCCATTATTTTTTTATCTGACTTGAGTCTCTACGTTGCATCATTGTGCAAATTTATAGCTTTATCGGACAGCAGGTGAGGGAGCCACGGCAGTTTGTCCGAACACTGGGGACTGTCCGAACACTGGGGTCGCGATAGTAGATTATCATGCAATTCGAGCCCCGAGGCATAAGCGAAGGCCGGGCGCTCTGACGCGCGCCTCCTCGGTTAACCCGGGCGCTGCCTATCCCCACTTGCAGCATCGACTCGTGCAGACTTCAATGTATTTCCTCGGAAAGAACGAGCGATCCAGAGCAGGCAGAGATTGCAGCTACCGGAGGCTAAGAATAGTAAGTTACGCGCTCATCAAGGAGTCTGTCCCGCTCCACCCTGTCTTGCTCATCCTCCATTCTTTCCCCCTCTCTGCTCTTCCTTGCGTACTGACCTCGACACAGGCGACTTGCGACTATTTCAACAGACAGCCTCTACCGCCATGCCGCGCGAGAACAGCTTCAGCGACTCCGACGGCCGCTCCCTCACCCCCGACCTCGAAGAAGGCCTCGCGACCTCTCCAACATACGCCGGCCCCCCTGCTACCCGTCGCAGTAACGACAATACCAATGCATCTGCAGAGAACAGGTATCCACAGCACCACCCGCTCAAACACAGCTACACATCCCCTACCCCCGCCCCACTCACCACCCCACAACAACAGCAACAGCAACAGCAGCAGCCCATCTTCCTCACCCCCACTGTCCGTTTCCGCTCCGCCGTCCGCAAGGTCATTGCCATGCGCTCCATGTCCTCCCTCCTCGCGCGACGCGGCGTCGGCGCGGAGCCAGGCGCAGACCCGCGCTCGGCCGCCGCGTTCCTCAAGTACGGCCACATCCGCCAGCGGTGCACTATCGAGGTGAACGACTACTCGACGACGCGGGTGGGCTCCGCGCGGATGGACAATAGCGAGTTCCTCAAGTTCCTCGGGGAGGAGGGCGAGCGCGGGGCGAGCGGGGCACGGGAGCCGTGGGTGCGGGTGCGGTGGATCGACGTCGGGGGCATCAGCTGGGACGTCATCAGCGCGCTTGCGCTCAAGTACGGTGCGCCGCCTTCGTTCGTTCGCGATGACTTTGCGTGCTCAGTGCTGAGGGGAACGCGGCGCCCGAACGTGTTTGCGGCGTACAGACCTGCACCCGCTCGCGGTCGAGGACGTCCTCCACCAGCGCGGCCACCCGCGTTCCAAGGCCGACTACTACCCGCAACACCTCTTCGTCCGCATCCTCGTCCACACCCTTGCCTCCTCCGCATCCTCGTCCTTCTTCTCAGACGACCGTACCCCCGAGGACACCTCTCCCGCGGACATGTTCGCCAGTATGCCGCGCTCAGAATCCCCGGCACAGATGGACGACGAGGAAGAGGCCGACCTCAAGCGCCGCATGAGCGCCAGCGCCCCCGTCAACGACGATTCCGACGAAGCAGACGAGCGGACAGTGTTCGAGAGCGCCCGCGCGTCCGTGTTTTCCACCCTGCGCCGCTCCCCGAAGGCGAGGCGGAGGAAGGAGAAGATGTCCGGCATTGGCCTCCCCTGGAGTCGTCCGAGGGCGCATGACGCCGAGGGCTCCCCGCGCGCACCCGGGCAGTGGCCTTTCGCGGCGATGGCACCCGCCGCGATACGGATAGGGGAGAGCAGCAAGAAGGCGCGGTACCAGAAGCTGGTGGGAGAGCTGAAGAAGGGCGACCGGGTGGACGTGCAGATCCACCCGATGTGCGTGTTCTTGCTCCGGGACGGGACGGTCGTGTCGATTCACAACGGTGCGTCTACGTCCTCCCCGGCGACTCGGAGGGTGGTGCTGACTTGACTCGCGGGTGGGGACAGACACGACGCTGGCGCTGACTGCGCCGATTGCAGAGCGGCTGAGGCAGCGGGACACGGTGTTGCGGACGAGCGCGGACCCAGCGTTGCTCGTCCAGTCGCTGCTCGACCTCGGTGAGTCTATCAGCTGTGCGCGGCACACGCTGATCGCGCTAACGTGCATGTTTCTCACACCAGTCGTCGACCAGGCGCTGGAGGTCGTCGAGGAGTACCAAGGCCGGATCCTCGAGATCGAGGAGCAGGTCCTGCTCAAGCCGAGCATGAAGACCGTCCGCAGACGTCAGTCGTATCGCGGTCCAATTCGCTCTGCGACTCACGGGGACGCTGACGGTTCGGCTGTTCCGTAGTGCATATACTCCAGGGCGACCTCGTGCTGCATAAACGAACGCTCGAGCCGGTCAAGACGCTCATATACGGGCTCAGGCGGTACGACGCGGACCGCGCGCTCGCGCTGCGGGACCCGGACGACGGGGATGACAAGACGCAGTTGGGGGGGTACATGAGCCATAAGGCGAAGATCTACTTGGTGCGTTCGTTCGTTCGCGGGAGGGAGCTGGGTGTGAGGGCAATGTGGCTGATTGGCATCGACCTTGTTGAGGCTGATGTGTACGACCATATGGAGTACATTCTGGCGAGCTTGGATATGGTCGCGGGCATTACGGAGAACCTGATGAATTACACGTTCAACGTGAGTCCCCCATTGCTTGCTTGTCGATCCTGCGTTGTGTTCGGACAGTCTGAGTGAAGGCTTGACGTTTATAGATGGCGTCATACGAGATGAACGAAGTAATGTGCGTGTACATCACAGCATAGCCAGGACTCTGTTGACATGTCTCCTGGACCAGGCGCCGTCTGACCACGGTGACGATCATTTGCCTCCCGCTCACGCTCCTCACCGGGTACTTCGTGCGTGCCGCCATTTCCTTTCCACTCGATCATATTCAGTCTCCCGCGTGCTGACGTTATGTCGTATGCTTGCGCAGGGCATGAACTTCACCCCTATGTGGTCCGTGAACCACAACAGCGACCTCCTGTTCTGGGAGATCGCAATCCCGGTCATACTCATCGTCGTCCCGCTCTTCATGTGGGGAGATATACGACGGATGAGGCATTACTTGGATAAGAGCTGGAGGCGGAGGAGGATAAACAAGGTTTGTCTCTTGCTTCCACCTGCTGATGGGGCGTTGTGCTGACTTGGGATGGGTGGATGGCAGGCGTTCAAACGTGCATAGACCGGTAATAATCGTGCATAGACCGGTAATAAGAGCGCCGTGCGATTGGGGGCGCTCTTCTTGTCTCTGTTCCAAATCTCACTCGAGGGAGGGAGCTCACACTTTTATTGCTACGAACACGGACTTCCGGGCTCCTATGCGAACCCTTATGACCGAACAAGCCCAGTGGTCATTTATCTCTTTCACTCCGCTCCTTCGGCGAACTCCACTCGGCTTCTCGTCTCATACCTGGCCCTCGCTGTCCGCTCCCCTTACCTATGAGAGGTATCCTCGTAGACATACTGTCCGTCTAAGCTCTCTCGACCTCTATTCTGACATGGGCTGCGGCTTCCTGGATCTTCTCAGCGTTCGACTTGAATTCAGCTCATCTGCATTGGTTTTGATGCACCAGTCTTCAGCTCGCCGCCGCAAGTCATTTCGTCCACATGCTATCTACATGCTAGAGTCTCTACACACGATTGGTCTCGTCGATACGGATGAAACGCTGACTTGCACAACAGCATCAATACACCAGCATTGCGTTCCCAAAAGACCACGTCTGCAGTCGTAGCGACCGCACATTGGGCACCTGGTGGCAGTCTCTCTATCTTTCCCATACACGCGATGCTTGCCGCGCAGTATACGCGCCGAGTGTCTTCCCTATGCGTGTACGAGCGTATGCACGACAGTCGGCTAGAGCTGGGGAGCATGCTTTCCGTGCCCCTCGTTCTAGAGAAAAGTACGTCGCGCTTCCATTCTGTGCGCCGTATGGCTGTGTCTCGTTTTCTGAGTGCTTTGGACGTGCTCCTGGTAGAGGGCGCCGTCGCAACCTGACCCGGTCACGTTGACGTCTGACCTGAGCTCCTTCGTCTGGTTCAAGCCGTGACGCAAATTTGTCCTTATCCGATGATCTTCGCCGGTATGGTTGCAGGACGAGGTTCGCACTACTGAGTCAGGCAACCGAATAGACTGTTGCCGATAGCATTCAAGACCACCGTTGTTTGACATCGAGCGCTACGCGTGATTGATTGTTGTGTGAGCAGCACAGTTCCGCGCCACTGGGCGCAAGAGTATATGGCCGATTCGATTGGTGCGTGCGCGTCGCAGATTTGAAAGGGTTGATTAGATGTCTGTCGAGGACTCGTAGACTACTCAGCAATAAGCCTAACAGATCGTACGCGCGGACCATGTTGGTGGAGACAGGGAGGAAAAGATTCCGCGTGCGCTGGGTACACGGAGCGGGTGTCCGGCCAGGAGTCTCCTTGACGTCCCACACACGAGTTCAAAGGTCGCCACTTGCTCCAAGACAGCCGAGCGCCATCCTGAGCGAATTCCGAATTCCATGAATCATTGGAGTCGTCTGGTCTCTCTTCTAGGTGAATCCAATCGGTCGTTTGTCTGAACCGTGACCCTGATGGACAATGCTCCCCACTAGTTCCGCACCATGCGCCCAGCTGACCTTGTTCAACCCACCTGCTAGGTTCCTATTCTCCTTATCGTGACACGCTCTTCTTCAGTGTTGGGCACCCAATCGCCGCCACAGTAGGTTATGTGATAGATCCGGATCCACCCGACGAGCGTAAGTGACATATACATCCATTGTGCCAACCTGTGGTTTCGGGAAACACCCTCTTTCGGCCCCACCTGTTCTTGTGGCGTATTCTTGGGTACACGTGCAATTACAAGTCTACGGCGCTGAGTTTCTCTTCGCCCCATACACTGCCAAAGAACGCAACTATGTGACATTCGCCACCGGGTGGTACTCCAGCCTAGAAGTATTTTTTATCCTGGCACCCTTGCGCAGCTGGCTGAGTACCATTGGACGATAGTATCATGATCTCCCACCCTTAGCCGTAATACGTTCGTGTCCTTTGCGCAGCTCGGTAAGCATTACCTGACAACAGCTACTCCCAGGTGGTCTCAGGTGAGCTTCGTTGGGCCTGTGGAAGTGAAAAGGTTACGTATACCCACTATGGCCTTACCGCCTTGAGACCAGGATCTGAGCCATCACCTCCTATTGTACCGCTTCAAAATTAATCGAGGTAGAGTATCAGGGGCGATAGCTATGTGACCATGCAAGTAGAGACGTTATCCATTGTGTCGACCATACACTCATCACCCTTCTCATAGAGTACGGAGTGCTATGGAGTATCTGGCAATCGTTTGGCCGCCGTTGGCTGGCTTCGTGTTACCTTACGCTGTTTATGCACTTTTCTTTGACTATCATTCTAGGGCAAGGAGTCGGTCAGTTAGTAGCCAATGGTGTGATGAGTATTGGAAAAAAATCCTTCACCCGCAAAATGGGAGACTTCCTTCGGATGTGCGGTTGCGTAACGCTTTATCGACTCGGATGTATTCTAAATACATGCTCAGCAAGACCGCTCACTCGCCTGTTCACCGTTAGGTAAGCACCATGGTGGTCAAATTGGGTAGATCGGTGCACATGCTCGCCTACTATCTGTATGCAGATGACTGGAAAGTCGGTACGACACTGGAACGCATTTTTTCCCATATAAACGGCTCACTCGGTATGATGCACAACCCTCCATTTTGCTCTGTATAAAAGTAAACATATCCTTCAGACCACAATCGAAGACGGACGGACCAGAAGGCTTATGTACATTGAGAGCGGCCGCATCACTGGCGACTGTCAGATATCCGGTTTTGGGATCTTGTGTCTTCATCGACTGTGTTATCGCTATCTGGAGTACGTAGGGGGTCTACACCACCTCTGGAGTTTGTGGTGGCGGTCGAAGGGCCGAAGGTCTTCTGGTAGCGCGCGAGTTCTATTTGACACCGTTTCGGATGGTGTCACAGACGATGTGTCTAGATGCTAGTCCTTTTCATGCGATTCGTTGAAGGCTGGAAGCATGCGTCGTATTCCACTAATTATGACTACAGAAATTATCACTAGGAGAACCTACCATTTATGGAACACACGACATCTCTACTGCATATAAAAGAGGACAGTAAGCCAAGGACTCCCCAGCAAGTCCTCGCTGAGCACTGGCAACATCACACGTCGACCACATTGCCGTAAGTGTTTCTCCATATTGCCTCCCTGTAGTCGTCGCTCTAACAACTCTCTCTCTCTGAACAGGTCCACCAACATGCGCTTCACTATTGCCGTTGTCAATCTCGTCATGGCCATCGGCGCGATGAACATCAGAGCCGCCATGGCTGCCGCTGCTCCTGGGCAGCTCCAGGCTCGCCAAACTTTGCCGCAATGCGGCAATCCGATTCTTCTTTGCACCGATGACGTAGACTGCGAGGCGTGCCCCTCCGTCCTTGGTTTCACCTTCCAGTGTGACATTGAGCCGCCGGCCACCACCGGGGTAGCTATGGTCCTCAATCGCTTGAGATTGATACATTCTGACATCACGTTTGTTTCAGTTGTGCTTGCCCATCCCACTCTGATTACACGAGCTTCAGGTCAAGACCGATATGGGAGCTCGAAGACCAGCCTTCAATCTCCCTATCGTGGTGAAGCTGTTTGGTTCGGTTGCGATCGATAGTATTCCTTTGTAGTATGCGAAAGTATGAGTATCTCCCCTAGGAGAAGGAAAACCCAAATATATGTCTCGTGGTGTACAACGAGTTGAATCCTCCTCTTCTGCTTGGGTGACAGAACTTTGATGATGATGGCAGACGATGTCATATTTCTGATATGCAGAGTCGATACGTGGTCCCGTGGGTTTCTCGTCCATGAGTAAGTCTGAGGCGAGTCAACTCGAATCTCCTAAGCACGCTCGCGGTGTCTAATATGGAGAATATTTGTGGATAACGGAGGACGAGACCTATAATTATATCGATTAGTGCCCACCACGCTAGGACGGGAATATGTTTCGGCTTGGAAGAGTCGCGCTGTATCGAAGTCTCGTCCAAAAAGACCTCCTATGTATGGAACCAGGTGGTCCGACTCGGACGGCTTAAGGCTCACTACAATGAACCCTTCTCACTCGCAAGTTCGCAACTACTGACTCTAGAAGACACTGTCGCACAGTAAGCCGGTCATGTCATGTCAATTTTTGCCCTGACCTCCATATTTGTCTCTTGCAAGCCATGACCTCCAATAATCCTCATACCTGCGAAATGAACTTGTACTGTTGACGCGCAATAGCAGGTCCACTATTGCCGGCAACCGAATAGACTCGTAGCAACTGCAGTCAAAGAAAACGAGCGCTACTCCGGATAGACTGGTCGGATGACCAGAACAGGCCCGCCCCGTTGGGATACTGTTGGCTTATGCCGTCTTTTTCCATTGGTGCGTGCACATGAAGACAGGGAGGTAATCCCGCGTGCGCTTGGTCCACGAAGTGATTGCCCGGAAAGGGTTCTCATGGGACATGCCATACGCTTGTCGTCACTCGCTCCAAGGCAGGCAAGTGAAAGCGAGTGGACACAGAGCTTGAAGGACACCGTCTGCATATCAGAGCACATGTTGAAGTCAAGTCGTATCTCTGGAAAGACGTCATCCGAATGATTTGGGGGCTGGCGAGCGCCGTCCTGAGCGAATTCCGGGTTACACGGATCAATTGGAGTCGTCTGGTCTCTGCTAGGTCATTCTCTGAACCATGATGCATGACCTCTGATCGAACCCGCTCCCCACTGCTAGTTCTTCACCGTGCGCCCAGCTGACATTGTTCGACCTGGCTTCTAGGTACCTTTTTTCGCCTTCGCGACACGCTCTTCTTCAGTGTTGGGCGCTCAATCGCCGCCACTGTAGGTTAAGTGATAGATGTGGAATCACACGGTGAGCGTAGATGACATGTACGTCCAACGTGCGAATCAGTGGTTCAGGGCAACAACCTCTTTTCGGTCCCGCCCGTCTCAGACGTCTACTACTCTAGTGTGTGTGCAGGTAGGCGATGATGAGTTTCTCTTCGCCTCAATTTTGGGACTGTATCCCAATGTAAAAGTATCTTCTTCAGCACTGATGTCCTTGCGCAACTGAGGATGTACTGTCGGACGACGGATCATCCCCTAAGTGGTCTCATGTGTCCCGGTGACAGTCACGAGGTTACGTATGCCGTATACCAGTGTAAATTCATCCAGGGTTCAGTCGTGTTGGTGGTGTCGAAGGTACGATCGGTTTCCCTTTTCGCATTATTGCTGAGCATCTGGACATGCGTGCGAAGTTCGTGGAGGAACATGGAAAACACCGCATTCCTAATAGGCGGCCCCTGTCCCGAATCTCGCTGTCACCTGTGTTCTCGTCCCCGGTCAAATTGTTGGAGTAAGTTCATCTGGACGTTTTTGCTGATGATTTTCTCAGGTTCTCACCCCTGGGGTAGTTCAAGGCCGTGGAGACAGGCCGCTTTGCAGATCGTTCTGCGCATAGTCGCCAGTAGTACTCGATGTATTGTCAAGTATCAAGGTGACGAATTTCCTGCGACAGTGTTTTGCAGCCGCGTGTGACGTCTGAGCTTAGTCCCTCTGCCAGAGGGAACGGAAATGGTGACCGGCTGGAGATGGAGTGTACGGCAACTAGTACTCGTTCCGTTGAGTTCGCCACAGCTTTCCCCCAAGAGCTCCTCAAGACTCTGCCTTCGTACAGTATCATTTCTTTGTAAATTTCCTCATGGCCTGGGGTAGGAGGATAGAGTACGCGGGGGCGAGACCTCTCGAACGTCAGGCTCGACTCGGAGACCTGACGGGGGAAGAGTTGTCAGCGTGTCGATGACAGATGGCTGCAAAGCAAGCGAGAATACTACATGTTCTATTGCCCGAAGGCGACCCCAAGTCACATAGCGGGTACAAATTCATGAGATGGGCGGATGACCGTAGAGACCGTCGAGAACGTCGATACCGTCGAGACCGGAGACGGCGAGCGCGAGTCACGGTTGTGAGCACCTGGGGTGTGACGTCATCTGTCCCATATGCGGATGCGCGTCGGCCAGTCCGTTTATGGGTATGCCCGCCCTGTTCGGCCTCGCAACGTTCATCGACCTCACCCCCCGTCGCTGGTGAGAATGATCTCTCCCTACATCTACTACTCATATCATACGTTTGTAACTCCTTCATGAATAACGACTCTCCGTCAACGTCGATACTCGGCGCCGTGCGCTGAACGTCTCCACTCACCTCTACCGTCCTTGTCACGAACACCAACCTCAGGCCTGCCTTAGCCGCAAACGGCTCCCCGTTCATCCTCAGTTGGGACCCCCACACCCTCCTACATAAATGGCAGGGGCATCTCATTAACCTTTATGTTTTTACCAAGCTCAACCACTTCCTATGCCTCCTCCTTTGTGGACGCAGCCTGCTGAAACCACGCTAGCATCGACGCAGACCGTGACTCCGACGAAGCAATCGGAACGCGTGACTCACAAAGTGACACCGCACAAGCGTCCCCTCACACAGGGGGCATTGGGTACCCTCAAATGTACATCGTCTATGATCTTTCGCGTTGCTGTGTGCAGTCTACAGTAGCTAGTTTGACCGCTCGCTTACGCACGACATTACAGTTTACTTCGACAAAGTCTCCCAGACCCCAGACGTTCCCGCCCGCACCATGCTCGCAAAACGCGTGAAGTCCATGCCCGGTCTGGTGCACTACACTGCGCAATACGTGTGCAGCTGGTTCGCAACCGCGCGCAAGAAGCAGGGACGGAGAGAGAGAGAAGCAGGCTCGTTCCCGCGCGTGAGTTGCCACCTCAGGCCTGGCGGAAGGAGCGCCGGGAGCAGGTATAGAAAAAGAAAGACGTCGCTGTCGAATCTAACCTGAACTGCACACGTAATCTTATCCTCCACATAACTTGTGTGCGTTGAGCCGACGCGGCTTACCGAATTCATGCGCCGGGTCCCGAACCCCTCACCAGAGGTCGCGCAGAGCTCGGTCGAGCGGCTCAAACCTAGAGTGTCTGTGACGCTCGCGCTGGGTTTCACGAGGTGGTGGAGAGCACGGGATCCGCATCAGCTGGAGAGAGAGATGATACCGGTGGTGCAGGCTGCCAGTGTGTGATTCGAGGTGAGCATGCGTTCTAAGCGATTCTCAGTTGCGCCAATGGGGCACGACATTGATGCTTGCTGGAATTGCCAGGTATGCCATCCACCGCAACATTGCTCATCCTCTGCCAGAGCACGAGGACATCTTTATGCTGCCAATTAGATGGCACTGCAGCCATTTAGATAGGAGAGAACCTGCATGCAATGGCAAACACTGCGGCACAGCTGAACCATGGACTTCTCAGTCCGGTAAAGGAAGTCGCCGTCTCAATCACTGGCATGTAGCCTGGTCGGTGCCCGTTGGCTTGACAGGTGACAATTCTGAGAGCGCTTGGGAAGACAAGTTTGATGCGTCCGCTACTATGGCATTGTGGCCGATGTACCGATAGTCTTGGATCCCTCGTTTGTACACTGATGAGCCTCGAACTCGAATGCGAAACGATGGATTGTGGTAAACTCAGAGATAGGCGCCAAGGCGATTCCTCGTCCGAAAACCCCACTTCGAGATGCAGCCTCTTTTGGCCGACGCTGAAGGATAGCCGTGCAATTCTCATCCGTATCCTTGGAAGGAAGTAGATGTAGGGTCCCTCTGATAGTAGAACTGGGAGATACCGAGGATGCGATGGTGTAGTCTAGATGCAGGGAGTTAAAATCCGATTTGCCAAATTGTGTCGACGAGAGTCATTCAGGCTGAGCTTCAGGGCCTTCGTTTTGAATCGTAATTAATCACTTGCAGTAAAAGACAGATGAGTTTCTTTACACGTGCCTGGGTAATTAGCGGGAAACGTCCCTGTGTTTCGGTGAGAGCATTCTCAGTGTCGAGGGGTGGCACGGCTGGGAGCCTGAATGAAGTGAGCGACTCGGGTGCCGAGGGTGGAGCAGAGTATGAGACAGCTCTTGTTGTGCTTAGCCTTATCAACTTCCATCTGTACTTGCAGCTACTAACAGACAGAGCGGCGTTCGTGAAGAAAACATGCGGATGGTACCTCAGATGAGTGAGATCCGAGTCGCTTCGATAGTAGCGGGCAGACCCAGCGGACAGGACGGTGATGAGGACTTAGCAAGTCTCTGGTCAAGCCAGTCAAGCAGAATGACTATATATATATGGTTTTTTTGCGACCGTATATCCACGGCGGGGTTGAGGTCGAAAGCGAAATAGCAGAGGATACATGTCACCAGCGTTCACATGCAGCGCCTGGGGATTTCGATGAGTCAGCACAACTCAAGTGTAAAGACACGCACTTGCAGCCCCACCCCTCGACCTTCCCACGATCTTGTGCCTTCTCCTTCCTCTTCACATTCTTGCTCTCCACAGAGACGGCGGCCAGTACGCTGACCGGTCATAGTCTGTACTCCCGTGCCTCAATCCGTCGAACGAGAAGAGCTTGGGAAAATCCCGTAGTCACTACCTGGAGCACTACTCTTAGTTTCGCCTCGACGTCGACGTGCACGGCCGCGAAATACCCACAATCTGCGACGATGGCGGGCTTTACGGCAGGTCCACCTTGGCTCTTCCGCAGCGTTCCTCAAGTAGGGCCACATCCGCCAGGGGTGGAGAACGTCCGCTCGACGACGCGTGCGAGGTCCGCGCGAATGGACAATGGCGAGTTCCTCAAGTTCTTCTGGGAGGGGAGCGAGCTCGGGTCGAGCGGGGTACGGGAGCCGTGAGTGCGTGTGCGGTGGATCGATCTGGGACGTCGTCAGCGCGCTCGCGCTCAGGTACGGTGCGCCGCGTTCATCAGCGGTGATCTTGGGTGCTCAGTGCTAACGCGACGTCCGAACGTGTCTGTGACTTGCAGACCTGCACCCGCTGGCGCTGGAGGACGTCCTCCACCAGCGCGGCCACCCGCGTTCCAAGGCCGACTACTACCCGCAACACCTCTTCGTCCGCATCCTCGTCCACACCCTCGCCTCCTCCGCATCCTCGTCCTTCTTCTCAGATGACCGTACCCCCGAGGACACCTCTCCCGCGGACATGTTCGCCAGTATGCCCCGCTCAGAATCCCCGGCGCAAATGGACGATGAGGAAGAGGCCGACCTCAAGCGCCGCATGATTGCCAGCGCTCGGGCCAACGACGACTCCGACGAAGCAGAGGAGCGAACGGTGTTCGGGAGCGTGGGCGCGACCGGTTTCTCCTCCCTGCGCCGCGCCCCGAAGGCGGAAGGGATGAAAGAGAAGGCCAGTATCGACCTCCCTTGGTCCCGTCCGCCAGGAGCGCGCGACGTCGAGGGCTCCCCGCGCGCGCCGACAAACGCATCCGGGCAGTGGCCCTTCGCGGCGATGGGAGCCGCAGGGATACGGATAGGAGACAGCAGCAAGAAGGCGCGGTACCAGAAGCTGGTGGGCGAGCTGAAGAAGGGCGACAGGGTCGACGTGCAGATCCACCCCATGTGCATCTTCTTGCTGCGGGACGGGACGGTCGTGTCGATACACAACGGTGCGTCTCCGTCTTGCCGGGCGAGGGCGTTGCTGACTCGACGCACGGGTGGGGGATAGACACGACGCTGGCGCTGACGTCGCCGATCGCGGAGCGGTTGAGGCAGAGGGACACGGTCGTGCGGACGAGCGCGGACCCGGCGTTGCTCGTCCAGTCGTTGCTCGACCTCGGTCAGTCCGCTTCTCGTCGGGCTGTATGCGGCGCACGCGCATCACGCTGACGTCTGCGTTCCTCCCACCAGTCGTCGACCAGGCGCTGGAGGTCGTCGAGGAGTACCAAGGCCGGATCCTCGAGATGGAAGAGCAGGTCCTGCTCAAGCCGAGCATGAAGACCGTCCGCAGACGTCAGTCGTCTCGCGGCTCGATCTATTCGCTCTGCGGCTCACGGGGACGCTGACGGTTCGGCTGTGCCGTAGTGCATATACTCCAGGGCGACCTCGTGCTGCATAAACGAACGCTCGAGCCGGTCAAGACGCTCATATACGGGCTCAGGCGGTACGACGCGGACCGCGCGCTCGCTCTGAGGGACCCGGATAACGAGGATGACAAGACGCAGTTGGGGGGGTACATGAGCCATAAGGCGAAGATCTACTTGGTGCGTTTGTTCGTTCGTAGTCTGGAGCCAGGTGTGTGGTAGGGTTATGAGGCTGATTGACATCGTCCTTGTTCAGGCTGATGTGTGCGACCATATGGAGTATATCCTGACGAGCTTGGATATGGTCGCGGGCATTACGGAGAACCTGATGAATTACACGTTCAACGTGAGTCCCCCATTGCTTGCTCGTCGATCCTGCGTTGTGTTTGGACAGTCTGAGTGAAGGCCTGACGTTTGTAGATGGCGTCATACGAGATGAACGAAGTAATGTGCGTGTACATCCCCACAGCATAGCCAGGACTCTGTTGACATGTCTCCTGGACCAGGCGCCGTCTGACCACGGTGACGATCATTTGCCTCCCGCTCACGCTCCTCACCGGGTACTTCGTGCGTGCCGCCATCTCCTTTCCACTCGATCATGTTCAGTCTCCCGCGTGCTGACGTTGTGTCGTATGCTTGCGCAGGGCGTGAACTTCACCCCTATGTGGTCCGTGAATCACAACAGCGACGTCCTGTTCTGGGAGATCGCAATCCCGGTCATACTCATCGTCGTCCCGCTCTTCATGTGGGGAGATATACGACGGATGAGGCATTACTTGGATAAGAGCTGGAGGGGGAGGAGGATCAACGAGGTACGTACTTCGTTTTCCTTTGGCGATGGGGCGTTGTGCTGACTTGGGATGGGTGGGTGGCAGGCGTTCAAGCGTGCGTAGGGCGAAGGGGTAAGAGTTCGGTGCGAGTTGGCACTCTCTTCTTCTTTCTGTCTCAATTCCCACTCAACGGAGGGGCTCTATTATCCACTGCTACGATGCTGGACCTGCGGGCTACTATTTAGAAATCTCATGACCGATAAACCTGGACAATCACGAATCCTGTTCACTCAGCTCCCTCGGCGAACTTCTCTTGACTCTACATCTCGTTCCTGGCCCTTGCTGGCTGCCTTTACTTATCTCCTAGAAGCTGTTCTGTCTCTCTAAACTCTAACTCGATCTCTTCTTCGAAATGGGCTGCAGTTTCCGGAACGGTACCATGTCGTCCACGCGCCTGTGTCTCCACACGCGACTTTTGATGGATACGGATGACCCTCCGATCCGCACAAGAGCGTTCATACGCAGACATGGCGGAGTTTCGAATGGAACAAATCTGCAGCCGTAGTAACCGCATATTGGACACCTGATTGCAGTCTCGCTATCTTTCACGTACTCGTCATGCTCGCCACGCAGAGTATGCGCCGAGTTCTCCAATGTGTGTACGAGCGCCCGCAAGACATGTGCGGCGAGGCGCCCAAAGCTGTCGACTCAAGTGCTTGGGGAGTATGCATTCCATGCCGCTCGTTCTATATACAAGTATGTGTTGTTCCCATTCTGTGCGCTTTTAGTATATTTCTCTCGTTTTCTGAGTGCTTTGTAGCTACTCCATCTAGAGGGCGCAACCTGAGCCTCTCATGTAGACGCTCGCCCTGAGGTCCACTTCGTCTGATTCAGAACCATGACCTGACCAATCGCCCCCATCCGGGGAACTTCGTCGCTATTGTTGCAGGCCGAAGTTCGCATTACTCTGTTAGGCAACCGAATAGACTCGTGCCGACAGAAGTCGGGACCACCGTTGTATGACATGGAGCGCTACGCGTGATCGATCGGTCCGTGTGAGCAGCACATGCCCGCGCCATCAGGCTACTGAGAGATTATAAGGCTTCGATCGATGCGTGCGGTTATGTGTCTTCTGACGACATGGACCACGCAGCATTGAGCCTAAAGGATCGAGTGCGTTGACCATGCTGGTAGTTCCGCGTATGCTTTGTATGCGGGTATCCGGCCAGGAGTCTCGTGGACGTGCGCCACATGAAGTCGACAGGTCGTCACTCAGCCCAAAGCAGGCAACTGAGAGCAAGTAGAAACGAAGACTGAAGGTCAATGTCCACATACCAAGTCCCTGTCAGAGCGCACGTCGTAGGTGTATTTCTTGAGAGCCATAACCCCACTTATTCGGGCGCTGCCGAGCGCAATGCATCATGAACGACTTCCGGATTAAACGGGTCATTGGAATCGTCTGGCCTGTCTTGGGTGAACGGCACTGGTAATATGTTCGAACCGTGGCCTCTGATTGACATTGCTCCCCACTAGTTCCGCACCGTGCCTGCAGCTGACGCGGTTCGAGCTAGCTTCTAGGTGTCCACATATTCCATTGTGACACATTTCCCCCCAGCGCTGGGCACTCAATCGCCGCCGCTATAGGTTAGACGATAGATTCGGCTCCACCCGGTGAGCGTAGATGACATATACGTCCAACGTGCGAACCAGTGGTTTACGGAAACGACTTCTTGTCTCCGCCTTGTTGCGTGGCCTCAAAAATGAAATGTAAAATTCTACTACTTGACTGCGGTAGACCTCTGCGGACGTATTTCCAGAACTGACAAACTCGAGGAGAGCACAGTGCTTGTCCTGTGGCGCATCTTCGAGATTCCTTCAACTTCATCAACGCAATCCGATAATTACCTCCTCGCTCATATATGTGCTCTGTATTGCTTGTAAAATGATCAATTGAAGTCTTCAATAATTGCTGAAACTTCATGTCGGATTCATTGCTTTCCATCTGTCCAACGACGTATACGCGTCGCTATCGCATTGCCGGAGGTGAAAGGGCGTAACTTCTCTTCTAGTCAAGCTTGGCCTATTGTGTGGTCTGTATACTGCAGCCTTGAATCTCTGAACTCTTGCCTTATCGGAGGCTATTACTATGTGCTACGAAAAGTATCACAATATGGTACTGGACACAAGCTCGGCGTTTCTGTAGCCCTCCATATTCTGTCTGAGTCTCACACTGCTCTCTCAATGATCTGGCTACGATACTAGTCACCAGATCAACTTTCCATCTCAATGGAGTTATGCCTACCCAGGTCGGAGATCATGCCAGTGAGCTAATGTGGCAGGTATGATTATGCGCTCCCACAGCTTGCTGTACACCGACCGCGCAAATTTTCTTGCAAAGCCTGAATATCTGCAAATGCAATGGGCCCATATCTTGGCTCATATGGTCGCCCCACAATATCCTTGGGGAAATCAGCTGCTCGGCTATCAGCTAGGTAGGCCGCCACCATAGCTAATGCGACAGGTGGCTGAACGCGCTCACCCTGTGTTGAACAATGAAAAGTTGGTCAGACCGGGGATTGAACCCGGGTCATCCCATATGCGCTGGGAGGTGTTACCACTACACCATCCAACCGATACTAGAGTGTGAATTCTACAGATTCCAACACTCCCCCTGAAGTCACACTCTGGTGATCAATCAAGGAACCAACTTTTCCAAATGAAGTTACCCTCAGGCACATTTCCCGAGGCGGGGGTTCTCTGACCCTGCTCCCTTCGAAGCGTCACACAGGGCTCATAACCTGTTGAACAATGAAAAGTTGGTCAGACCGGGGATTGAACCCGGGTCATCCCATATGCGCTGGGAGGTGTTACCACTACACCATCCAACCGATACTAGAGTGTGAATTCTACAGATTCCAACACCCTGATTATGTACTAATGCAAAGCACATCATTCCGATGGTTCGGGATTTGAGTGGCCTGTTGAATATGCGATTTTCATATTCTGTTTCGTGACACTACTCGAGATATAGTCCATATTGTGACTCTACTGCTCAGTCGAGGATGTGGTATGGGATAGGAGTGTTCCTATAGTTCTGTGAACCGTCGGATGTCTGTTCAAGTGATCACATCGCAACTACATGCGAGTCGAAGTCACCATCTAGTTAGCTGGCAGAAAAGAACCAGGTACTCGATAAATCATCACTCCTAGAAAGCTATTCATGGAGCGTGTCTTCAGAATATGGTACAATCCATAGAATGACATATCTTGCAAGCATTGTCGGTCGAGATTGACGCGCCTACGCATCACCACGGATTGGATTGTCTATATGCTAATTCTCGCCTCCCAATTCACACCAAAGGTTCGGTCAGAATATTAGTATACTCTCCATCACAACGGGCATTATATCCCAGAGATACCGACCATTTCTGGAGGATATAACCAACAGACGGAGTATAAAAGATGGGACTCTAGGGGAAGCTTCAGCAAGTCCTCGCCGAGCATTCACACCGCACAACTCGTCTACAATCCAGTGAGCATCCCTTCCCACCTTTCCCTCACTTCTCAATACTGACACATTACGTCTCACATGAAAGGTCCTACAATATGCGTTTCACCCCTGCCATGATTAGCGTCGCCATCGCCATCGGGGCTATGAGCGTTGGCCGCGCCTTCGCTACCGCTGATCCCGGGCAGCTTGAAGCCCGCCAATCTACGCGATGCATCACTCCTCTCGTGGCTTGCACCACTAACACCACATGTGCGAGCTGTGCGACGTTTCCTCCCGTCATACCCAGTTGGACATGCAGGACTGTCCCCGGCAGCAGTCAAGGGGTATATCTCCTTCTCACAGGCTGCAAATCTCTATAAGCTGACTAGGAAACAATCTGCAGATATGCTTCCCTACCATTCTATAGGAAAATGTGAGCTCGTCCGCGAGCTTCCGGTGTAGGATGGTCTGAGGGAAGAAAGACCGGGGGGCAGCGATTCTATCAGAATGATGCTATCCAGTTCGATCACGGTTGCTTGCTTCGATATCTGTACGATATGGGGGTATAGGTCTTTTTAGTTAACCAGAAAACTCAGATGTACGATCCATCGCGTATGAGAAATTGACATATGTCCTTTGTGGCACAAGAGGCTTGTGCGAGGTCACTTGCAGAGATTGTATTCCGTCCTTTTGAACTGTAGCTGTCCACGATGTTAGCATAGTCATCCCTCAGTATCTGGAGCGACGGTGCCGGAGTAGGTCACCACAGAAAGACCGAGACTGGGACAGGGAGTGCAACGCACGCAGGCGATCTCGCTCGAGAGAGCGCAACAGCGAAACGGGTCGTGGGACACGGCACCGGAGCGAAACGCTCCTCTCTTCTTCGAAGACCTCACTGCTGAAGTGCCCGCAGCTGCCAAGCTGCTCAATGGCGTCGAGGGTCCCTCCAGACTCTGCTCTTACTTGCAAGGTGCGGTCCTCGGTGTGGTATAGGCGATGCTCTGGACATCGTTCTTGGACGATACTCAAGATCCAAGCGCGCCGAGGGTCAACGATCGCTCATCGCGGAAGCGGCGCAAGGTGGACGCTGTCGGACCGCCTCTTGCTATGCTCCCTAATACATACAACGACGATGATGCGCAGCCTAGTTGTAATTGTGCGTTCTGGCAGCAATGTGTTCTGATCGGTCGGTGAGTGCTCCACGTCTGCGTTTTACATCCCATCCCTCTCACCATGTGGCCATTCTGTGGCCATCTAGTCTCCGCGACAATGTCCCTACGCATCTTGCATCGCGCGGGTTCATCAGACTCCTCCAAGAAAGAAGGTGTCAGTGGTGGTTCTGTTTCCGGTACATTCATGTTGGCTTTCGGGCGCTTAGGTGAGCGATTACGCTCGGTTATCGATAAAGTTTTTCGTATATAGACGCTGTACTCCGACTTTACTGTACGGTACGCGTTTGCAACGAGATCCCTCCGTCGTCGCCTCTCTTCTCAAGCCAAACGCGCTCGACGTTCTCATTCGCCGCCCCCTCTTTCACAGTCATTGCGGTCCTCCTTGTGCTCGCAGCGACACTGGTGGCCGGCTACTTATGGTATCGCCGGCGCCGAAACCTGGCAGCACAGAACACCGCGGCATGCGATGAATCGAGGAGGCGGAGGCTCTCAACAAGCCAGAACCCGCCACGACACACCTCAATCAACATCTTCTCTGGCTCCATTCAAGGGACAAGGACACTCATTCCATCCAGACAACATCCACCGGCACTCAGATACGAGCCGTGACCTGAAGTCATCCTCTTCTCGGAGAACACTGTACTTGAAGCGCGAAAGCCGATTTACTGTTTCAGGCTACCGAATAGACCCGTCCCAACGGCAGTCAAGAGTATTATTGTTTGACATCGAGCGCTACGCGCGATTGATTGGTCGTACGATCAGGACAGGCCCGGGCTACGGTTGGGATATTGTTTCATTATGCGGTCGTTCCAATTGGTGCGTGTACATAGAAACAGGGAGGAAATAATCCCGCGTGCGCTTGGTACACAGGTGATGCCCGGAAAGGGGTCTCGTGGACGTGCCACACGCGAGGTCAACAGGTCGTCATTCGCCCCAAGCCAGGTAAAGGAAGGTCAGCGTTTACAAGTCAATGTCCTGTCAGAGCACGGGCCGTTGAAGTCGTATTTCTGGAGAGGCTTATGTTCATCGACCTCATCGCCCAGTTACCGTCGCCACCGAGACTCATCCCTCCCTACATCTAATACTAATGATCATATCTTGTGTTCGTATCCCTTCATGTTCAACAGCGACGCCCTGTCCACATCGACGCCCTGTCCACATTGACACTCGACGCCGCGCGCTGGAAGCCCACACTCACGCCGGTAACCGTCCCTGCTGCCAACACCGACGTCAGGCCTACCTTGGCCGCAAATGGGTCCCCGCTCATCGTCAACTGGGACCCCCGTACCCTCCAGGATGGACCACATGTATACCCTTATCAGCCTATATCTCAGTCCTGAGCTCTACCTCCCCCTTCGTCGACGCAGCCAGCGAAACCCACATCAGCGTCGAACCCACACTAGCGCCGAAACACACACTAGCATCGACGCTGGCTCCGGTACTGCAACCCGAACGTGTCGCTAACAAATCGACGCCGCACAAGGGTCCGCTCCCACAGGGCGCATCGGATACCCTCAAACGTACGTCGCCTATCATCCATCGTGTTGCTATCACGGTGTGCAGTCTCTCGTAGCTAGATTGACCGCTCGCTCACGCATGACGGAACAGTCTACTTCGACAAAGTTTCCCAGACCCCAGACCTCTCCGCGCGTGAGATGCTCGCAAGACGCGTGAAGGTCATCCCCGGTATAGCGCACTACACCGCGTAGGACGTGTGCCGCTGATTCGCGACCGCGCGCAAGGAGCAGGCGGACTCGCTCGTTCGCGCGCGTCAGCTGCCGCCTTAGGCGTCGGGGAAGCAGAGTCGGGAACAGGTAAAGAAGAAGAGAGACGTCGCTGTCGATCCTAGCCTGAATTGTACGTACTCCCGTCTCCAGATACCTTGTGTGCGTTGTGCTAACAGCGTTGGGGGTGGGAGTGCTGTGGGGACTCGGAAGTCATCGCGCCACGAGAAATCAGGACTGCCTTGTTCACGCACCTCACCGAACTCATGCGCGAGGACCCGAACCCCTCACCAGAGGTCGCGCAGAGCTGGGCCGAGCAGCTCAAACCAAAGTATCTGACGCTCGTGCGGAATTCCATGATGCGGTGGAGAGCAAGGGGTCCGCATCAGCGAGAGAGGGAGATGACGCAGGTTGCGCAGGCTGCCAGTGTGCGATCCGAGGTGAGTGTTACTAAGCCGTTATTGATTGAGTGAGATGCGTCTGTGGGGCACGACATGTCCTGGAATAGGCAAGGCGCACGCCCTTGCCTTCAGCCAAGCCGTCCGTGTGGACTTCGCGAGGGCCGTCGAGATCGCTCGCAACCGCGACGTCTCTGCTTGCACGTCAAACTCCGCTACACTTCCTGCTCCTTCGGTGCCATCCTCTAGTCCTAAGACGTCCGCCGCTTAGTGCACGAACCTGCCGAACGATGCTGAAAATGGCGAAGGTACGTCGAGTGCCTGCTATGCCAGGGCAACCCTACTCATCCTCATCGTCTGACGGATATGGATATCTCGTGAGAGCACGAAGACCATTATGGTGGACGAGTCGACCTCACGAGCACCGATGCTCTCCTGAAAAACTCCATAACTCCCGGATATCCTTCAGATGCTGCCATCCTCGACGTTCGCCAGCTGAACGCTGATGAGCGGCATTCACTCAGTAACTCGTCGACAAACGTCATCGCTGTCCGAGGACGCTCCTCGAGCTCGGGCCGTGGCTCGAGTCGCTGTAGTGGGAATGAACTTCCCTAGTATCTCTTGTATCTCCAGTGCGTAGCAGTCGCTGCGGCGCACCAGGCGTCACAAGCCCAGATTCCATCAGACGACATTGTAGATGTACATGCATCGAGGACTGCATACTACAACTCTTGTTCTTTCCCCGCCATATGTCTGTAATAGTCATCTCCTCGCAGGTTACGCAATTCCGCTTGACTCCATATTCCGCTCGTCAGCAGTGTGCATGCTAGACTCCTCAGACCCGTCTCGGACTTGAACTCCTTGCCGTGCTATATGCAGCACAGTCGCGCTTGAGACCCGGATGCCGCCCAAACACGATGGCTCGGGGGCATTGACCGCGCCCCCGCCGAAGGCTTTGTCCATAAGCGACCTGTTTTGTGCGACTAGTATGATCACGTCGGCTGGGTAGATGGCCTTCGGTGGTGTTGTCAGAGGTGCATTTCTCGAAGAAGGAACTCCAACGTACAATGACAGGTACAAGTCCTCCGTTGATGGAGTAACCGAATTTCCCGTCAAATGTGGGTTCGCCTTGGACGGCAGAGCCGGCGTGGACTTGCCAAGCAACCACGAATATCTGCAAGTAGAACATAGAGTCTCGCTCCTAGCTTGTGGATGCACAGCAATCGACCTATCCAGATAATGCAATAAACCATCCCCGATTCGACCAGTACAGAGAACAGTCTCTCCATCTGGATAGTCCTGTCGCCTGATACCTTGAATTGCCGCAGAAACATTTTCAATTTCCTGCAGCAGTCATGAGAGGCTGGCTTAGGGCAGATATCAATCCGCAATATGACACACCATGCCTTATAGCCCACTATGATGGTTGCAAAGAGATTCACACTCAGAGACAGCACGGAGGCGGCGATGCCGTATAGTGTTCCTCCATACATGCCTCCCGGAAGGCCGGTATTGCCATCAAGTGACCAGCCCCAAATTAGGTCTTCGAGAGGGCATGTGAACCTGAGGTCCACTGCTCCCAGAGCTGATCTCCCCGGGGACAACAATTATGGGAATATATAGCGACTACGATATCATTGCAAGCTCACCCAAGGTTGCCAGCAACAGTATAATCGAGACACCTCTTATAAAAAGGTTCCCTGGCCAAAGCAACAAAACCGGCCAGCAAACGATTGAATCGCCCAAGAGTGTCTAGGGGGTATGATTACAGAATGAGGTGTGATGAGACGACCAGGACGTACATTGACTGTGAGTGCCGCCGTATTCGCACAGGATCCATAGTGGCTGGGACCGTAGTACAGAATAACCGCATGATCACAGAGAACCCGCGAGTGAATGATAGCAGTAAGAATACTGCCCCGTGCTTCTAGAATAGTGATAATGACGGCCATAGTGGTGGATGCATAAAGGAGAACAAGTGTCGAACCGAGGACAGCGGTGGTGAAGCGATGAGTAGGCCATTGTCTTCAGATTAACGTGAGCCTTTGAGCAAACAATTAGGGATGATTGATGTATGAAACGGCGGGCTCACTTTAGAAGAGCCGTAAACGCTGCGAGGGCTAAAGTTGTGAAGCATCCTGATAACCAACTCAGTCAGGTTGATGAATAGCGGGATCTAGTCAGCTTCTACCCACCATATAATCCAGAAGACAGGGCAGTCTGCGTTATCGGTCCTGCAATTTGAGCTGGCAGAAAGTCCAACCCAGACGGATCCAGGGGCGAGCGTCGTGCTTGACATGAGAACAATCTCGTGTGGTCACTAGTTGTAGGAAAGTGTAAGACGAGAGTGAGACCTAATGTACGCACCGGAGTCCAGGGCGACCAAAGTGAATGGTAACAGTCTTTCCCTAGCGCTTCGCCACAAAGTCATTACTATAAAGCACGATGTGTTAGTTACAGCCCTAGGCAATTTCTCTGATAATCCTGTCCTTCTGACCGAGTCACATCCTGTCAGTGAGCGCTGGCGACAGAATGGCCCGGGCATCGATGATGCCAGAAGTAGATTGCATACCTCCTCAGCAACTGCACCGGCACGTCTTTCTACAACACCGGTCATAAGGATATACGCTCGTCACATGCCATAGAGCTTGCTCGCATAGACCACGTATCGACAGATTCAAACTAACAACCTTTGCGCAGTTCCAGGCTTGCCAGATTGTGCAGCCACCAATGTGACTTCGCTCCGCGTCAACTGGTTGTAGGGACTATGGCTATGGCCTCAACCACTCACCAAAAAACCTTGAACCCCGGCCTGGTACCCAGCATGAGCGCAGGATGCTGTAACTGACAGCATTGCTGTCAGTTAGATGTTAGACAGTTGGATAGATTAGAATCTGTATGCCATGATAAACCCCGCGGCACAGCTGAGCCCTGGACTTCTGAGCCTGATAGAGGCAGTCTCCGTCCTCAATCACTGACATGGAGCCTGAACCGTGCCCGTTGGCTTGAGAGCGCTGGGAAGACGTATTTGATGCGTCTGCTACTATGACATCGTGACCAATATATCTCTAGTCGTAGATCCCTCATGTATACATGAATGAGCCTGGAGCTTGGTTGAGGAACAGTGGATTGCGTTGAACTCAGCGATGGGTACCAAGACGATTCCCCGTCCGAAAACCCAACATCGAGATGCAGCTTCTGTCGCCGGCGCTGAAGGATAGTCGCACACATCTCACCTGTATCCTATCAAAAAAGTAGATGTTAGTTCTTTCCAGTCGTAGAACTAAGAGATACAGAGGATGCGATGGTGTAGTCGAGATGCAAGGAGTCAGAATCTGATTTACCAAAGTGTGTGGACGGGGCTCGCTCGGACTGAGCTTCAAGGTCTTCGTCCGGAGTAGCTATTAATCACTTGCAGCGAAGGAAAGATGGATTGTCATACGAGAGCCCCGGTAATGAGCGGGAAACGTCCCTGTTTGGGGTGGCACGGTTGGGAGCCTGAGGTTGGTGAGCGACTCGGATGCCGAGGGTGGAACAGTCATGGCAATTGGGCTGTATATGGGACGTTTCTGATAGTAGTTAGCCTTATTTACTTCCATCCGTAGTTGCAGATACTGAGAGATAGGGCGGCGTTCGTGAGAAACAAATGTGGATGGTACCTGAGATCGCTTCAGTTTCAAGTTAGCGGGCAGAGAGGACGGTGTGATGGCGACCTAGCAAGTCTCTGGCAATCAAGCCTGTAGAAAGGACTAATGAGTATGTATATCATATATCCGGGTGTGGTTTCCGTGCAACTGTACTATCCAGTGCGGGATTATTGAGTTCGAAAGCGATAGGATACAGCGCGGACAGCGCGGGTCGACGCGTCGCAGCGCGTGACATCACGCGTTTTGAACTCCGGTGTGTTCACTTCCGCCAATAGGAGACGGTCACGCGACCTACTTTCCCACGCTCCCATAGGTCAGCTCTGCTGAGCTTCCTGGTACACTCTCTGCTCTTACTATCTTCATTCACAGGCATCGGACATGGCATGTCTCCTCGCTGTACGACTGCTCTTCCATGCTGCCAGGAACGTATCATGTCGCCATTTCCTCCTCTGTCCTTTACATCTGCGGCTCAACTCCCGACTTGAACCTGGCCTGACCCGCCCCTGCATATGTCTAGGCAAATTCTCTATCCTCTCTCATACCGATTGCTCTTGGTTGTCTCAATGGCCTTTGTTTCCTGCTCTTTCCTTACCTCTTGATCTTATTTGCGACATGAGTTGCAGTGCCCGGCGACCGCCCCTCCTTGACGGGGAGACTTGCATTAGCATGCCCACTATCCACCCCTGCCGCCTCTCTGCACACAACCGCTGGCGGTCTTAACGCTCCGTCTTTCAATCCAGAGTCACTATCTGCACTATATCCAACGTCTACTCAAGATAAGTCCGTCCTGGGCAACCGACGCCAGGGCCACCCGTCCCAGGAATAAGGTCCGTGTTCACGTCCAGCGCGCCGCTTGCGCCTCGGCATGCATTGCCAGGAGCGAAGGTCATCGTTGTCTGCCGGCGGAGGCAGACTCGACGCTGGCGCTGACGGCGCCGAT